CCCCAAAACTTGACATTAAACCGGGTCCCTCAAACAATTCCAAGATCCTGAATAAGCCGGCGAACTTGACATTAAAGCGAGTGCCCATGCATAACCGGGTCCAACATTACTTCTCGCGCGTTCTCGTGAATATGGGAAGTTCTCCAAAGCTCGTCACTAGAGCCGAGGCCATCAGCCAGCATGGCTGTGCCCTGGAGTTTGCCAGCGAGGTGCCGGCCATACTCCTCTGGAAAGTTAGCAGCATGCTTTGGTACAGCTTCATAATTCTTTGGGCAAGGTTGCAATATCAGAGATGCTACTTGGGCATGTTGACTCATACCGGCAGGCGCTTCGGCAAGATCGTGAAGTCGTTTGGCAGGCAGTTTACCACCAGCAGAAACTTCTCTGGCGTGCTAAGCAGCACTCCATGCGCAAGCGTTAGTAAATGCAGCGAATTTCTTGACCTTGGCATGATGTCAGTACATGGTACCTGCAATTTCAAGCCTGTTTGCCTCACAGGCGATGTTCAATTCTCTCACACTATTCGCTATAGTACTGAGTATTGACGTCTTGACACGGGAGGCGGTAAATCGAACGCCACGGTCCTTGACCATGGCTCTAGGCGGATTGCTCAGACCTGGAGGACATGGGTGTCTAGGTTTCTCAAAGCTGTGTAGCCCCCCAACCCGCAGTACACCACTTTATTCTTGGGGTACATGTGGGGTGCAGCTTATTTTCAAAACCAAAGTTTCGAAGCAGCGTTCTACGAGGAAGATTTGGCGCCCAGAAGCTTTGTTCACCTGGCATTGTTGATATAGGTATCATGCAAAGCATAGAGTAAAGGAATGTTCCGGCAAGGCCCCATAGACCCATGAACCACGAAAATATCTGACATTATAAATACGGTGGCTGATCCATGCACAAGTTCAAGCATACTCAGCATGTAGCTGCTTGAACGTATAAGGGGCTGTGCTTAGTGTGTGTACATATACACATATATAGACAGATGTATATCTTCATTTGTATTCCTCAGTTACATACTCCTTACTTCTATTCTCCTTATATACATATATACCTTAGTCGGGCTTTATGGCGCTCCTTGCCTTCAGGTGGCCTTGCAGATGACGCGGAGTTGGAGGAGTTGGCACGGGTTGGGACCTTGCAGCTGTTGAGGGATGTAGGGTCTTCAGGTTCAGGGTTCAAGGTTTACTGCGGTGTTAGTGTTGTTAGGGTTCAGGGATGTGTGATCCTTAGGGTTCAATGATTGTAGGGTCTAGGAGTGTGATCCAAACTGTAAGAATATGAGAGCCGAAAAGGTTTTTGGGGGTTTCCAGAAATTGGGGCTTCCCTTTTTTGGGGCTCCCCATAATCAGGATCAAAGTCTATTGGGGTCTATTTTGGGGCCCCTTGTCTATGGAGACTACTATTTGGGACTTTCTCGCGCATAATTTGAAAGAACATCCTGTATGACCTAGGAAGCACCGATCGCAGGTATCAGGTTGAGGAAGAACATGCATGATTCCCATTTAGGAGCCATCCTGTTTAGGTGATACCACAGGACATCATGGCATTTGGCGCTCATCTACTTTGTTCTATTTGCCCTTAACCCAAGTCTTTATGCAACGCGTAATCTCTTCCTTCTGGTAGAAAACCCTGTCACACACATGTTTAAATGTTCCCCGATAATGTCTGAAACCGGCGAGTATGGAAGAACAAGAAGGAGGGGGGCGTTTTCGGATTGAGGACGGGCGATTCTGAGAGACTAGCATGGGGCCAATTGCCGGTTTGAACTCTCTACATGCCCTCCGAATAGGTAAGGGGAATTCTACGCCAAGTGGCCCCAAGTGGAGGTTTCTCAAACATGGGGTCCGCTTTGTGCGTCCCGGAATACACGTGTATGCAACCCTTCTGGGACCTATAATTTTCGGCGCTCTGCGGAAAAGTTTTTGGGACGCTTGGGATTGTGGGCTAATGCGGAAATGCGCGGATGGACCTCCACCAACAGATTTCACGCTGCAGACTTGAAATGGAACATGAACGCACTCATCAGCAGATAGCAACCTTCCCATGCAGTAACAGAGCAGGAATTGGCATGATGTCCAATTTGTGCATACAAGATGTCCTTGGCCGAGGCTCTCTTTAACACGCCTAAGGCTTAAGGGGTTATCTTGCAGCTTGTGGGAGCTTGTGACTTCCTACGCCCCAAGAAGCGACACTCCAAGGATGTGCGCTGCCGGATTCAAGAGACTGGACGATGATATGCACCTGCTCGAGAAAATAGTTTGCATGCACTTGGTGTATATCGCAGCAGCTCACGCCTTACTCCTTCGGAAGAGTTGTTTGCAGCCAGGCGCAGTACAGTTTGAAGATCTCTGCATCCAGCACTTCCTCCTTTTTAGCAACCATGGCGCCTTATGAACAGAATGTCTTGTGTAGGACCAGGCTAGTTGTTCTGAGCAGATGAGGGATCCTCGGTGGAGCGTTTTTGAAGATGAGAACTGTTATCCATCCGTGAGTTCAAGAGCCAAAATTCCTGACAAAGGCCTAGAACGCCTTCATACCTGCACATCGGATCTAGAATTTCTACCCTGAATCCTTTGAAGAGCCGTGGAACAGCGGAAGTTCACAATTTGGGGAGTTTGCGGTGTGAAGGCTGAGCGCTGTCTGGGATATGTTTTCAAAAAGTCCTTGCATCACTCCAAAACCCTTGATCAGAGTCTCAGAAGCCTGCTGCCTGGACTCGTGCCTTGCGGCTCAAAGAAGGCCTGACAGTGAGCTACTGCGATTGTGTCTGCAATAAGAAGCTAGATCTCCTGAATCCAAAGCAGCAATCTTAGCAAGAACAGGAGCAACTTAGGAGCAAGCACAATCAACCAGACAAGCGTGATGAGAACATGTCAGTTGTAGAGAATTACTCAAAATTCGTGATAGCCCCATGGCGCTTACGGCGGCAGTTTCCACCGTTGACGGGAAGAGCTTTGAAATCCCCTGCACGGAGGAAGACACCGTGAAGCACATCCGAGAAGTATTGGAGACGAAGCACATCGAGGTGTGAACGGGCCACGGAAGAATCATAACAGTGCTGCTGACGTCTCAAGTTACTGGTGCTGGTTTTTGTACATGATGATTGCAGCTTCGAGCCCTAGCTGCCACAAATGAGCTGCGGTCAATATTAGCCTCGTTAAGGGAACTCGGGTCACTCTTGTAATCTGGTACATTCCCAAATAAGGTTCTAATGAGGAACCTATGTCCATTAGATTATGTAGGAAATGTTGAGTGTAGTTCATGTGTTTCTAGCCATGGACCTGGAAACATTTTGTCTCATCAGCATCCCATCCGCCCAGCTCAGAGATCTGCGGGTGATTGCTTTCTCCTCAATTCCAGGAGCGTTGGTAGGGCAAGGACTGTGCTTCCCAGTACTTGCTCAACGCGAGCATTGTCCTTTTCGTAGTAGGAACGTGCGGAAGCTAGCGGGAGCTGGTTGAGTGTAGCTGGCAGGCGTGTAGCTACCAGGATTCCTAGATCTCGCCACTGCACAAGAAGATCAACAAGAAGAGGAACAGCAGCAGCAACAGCAGCAGCAGCAGTAAAGCAGAAGCAAAACAGCTGCGATGGTAGCAAGGAGTCATCGTAGTAACAACAATGTTCTGGTTTCATCAGTTGGGAGGTCCCACCCGCCTGCTACTTGAAGCTGTTCCATGGACCACAGGCATCGGGGCTTCGGATCGTTTCCACAATTTGGTCCCATTACTGGGTACACCCGAAAGTGCCCAAGAATGTCTCAGAACATTCCAAAAGGACCCTTAGACATCGGTTTCACGATGAGGTCTGTTTGGGGATTTCTGGTGGGTAATTTGCAGCTTCCAGTGTAGGCCTAACCTGAGCGTACAGGGTTTCGGGTTCGCTGCGTAGGGCAGAGGGTGATTTGGTTTGCTGCGGCAGCCAGTATACCGATGATGATGATGATGATGATGATGATGATGCGGCTACGAAAGAGATTTTCAGATTGAGGCTCAGTACTCCTCGTCTAGGTTGGGGTCACAGTTAGATGAGGGTCAAGTCTTTGACTCCTGATCTTCAGGGTCCCAAGACTGTCCTAAATCTCTCATGTTCGGCTGATTTTGGCTTTGTGCTGTCAGAATGCTGGGTTCACGCATTTAGCTGTTGAACAAGACACGCATTTCATTCAATCGGCCGTCGAGTATCAGCACCTGGTGCTGGCAATGTTTAGCACAAATCGTGAGAGTGCTTTGACGACATTGCAGATTGGGCAGCCTGGGCATTCTGGTTTAATTAGGGTTGACACCATGTGAATTCCAGCTTGACACGATGCTCATCCCCGCCGCGGTGATGAGTACGAGCCGGGGAGAATTGAAAGATGATGGGAGGCCTTCCTCCCAGGGAACAGCGGTGCAGCTTCCCCCTCTTGCCAGGTTGTTCACGACGCTGTCCCCATAAAGGACCTTGACCTGACCCAGACCATCTTTGCCGTACTCGGCCGGGAGACCAACGTGGAGATTCTTCTGCAAGCCGCAGGCCTGATGCCCTTCGTACTCAACGCACTGCAGGACCTTATGGCACCAAACAGCCATCATTCCCAAAGATAGGGTATTCGGGGTCATGTGGACTTCTTTGGTATCACCAGGAGATAGGAAAGAGCCAGAGTGCTCAGAAACTGGAGCTTGTCCGGGTTGTTGATTCGGGGAAGCTTGCTAGCCTGGCTACATACCACATCTTGGATATGAGGAAGCTTCCTTTGGATGCTGCTACTCCAAACAGCAGACTTGAAGATGTCGCAGGCTCCTATCAGGGCTACAAGGACCTTGTGAAAGCCGCAAGTAGTGAAGGCGCGGGTCTTGTTGAGGTGGGGCAACATGGGAGGAGGTTCACGAGGTTCTGGGATTTATGCGTCGTACAGGGTTAGTAAGGATGTTGTTGGAGTCCGATCGGCATGTTCATAAAGTTTACATATGTTATGTGTTTTTCTGGGTGCCATTGCATCTATTCAAGTTCCATGGCCAGCTCTTGATCAAAGGGCATGCGTATGCTTGGTTGTGCCTTATGTTCATGAATGCTGACTGTAAATGTGTAGCCCTCTCCCACCTAGCTCCACCCTTGGCCTATGTGTCAGCTTGGACTTGCTGCACAAACCCGACTTGGAAGTCATTTTGCGCGCATGTCTTGTCTTCCCCAGCCCTGCCACATTGGCCCAGCAGGTGGAGATGTGAAGGCCATCAAGATGCCATCCATCCTTTCTGTGCTGGAGGAAGTTTCCATGTACTTCGGTGTGATTGTAGCGCCTGAGAATCTTCTGTTCAACATGCTTCTGGAATCCCCGTCGTAGTTTCCAGTGAGCAATTTCTTGAGATGGAAGTCTCATTGTGGGCTGAGCAGAAATGGGCCTTGCACAGTTGCTTCAGCAAGATATTCAAGTACGGGCCTAGGCTTGTGCCATAGGAGCATGTCTTCAGGAACGAGCCGTGCCGACCTGCGCATGCCACATCAGGACATGGGTGGGCAGAAGCCGGAGGTGAAGCACATGAAGCAAGGCGAACATGGCCTGGAAATGAATTCAGCAGATGGATGGCTCCTGCTGCTCAGATGCCACTGTAGTCTCAAGTTGGGGATTTTTATAGGCAGAGGTAGAGGTGGTAAGGCTGAGGGCAACTGAGGGGTGTTGCACTCTTTGCATGTGAAGCCTGGTACACAGCAGGGTGGGATCTGGATCGTCGTCTCTCAATCATCTAAGGTTGCCGAGTCTGAATCTCGGAGTCCTACAAAAAGAGGGTAAAGGATTCTCTGAAGTGGTCTTCTCGGTGCAGCTCAACTCTGACGCTTACAACCAAGGCCCGGCATAATGCTTCAGGGACATTCCAGCAGCTGCAGTTTTCAGACATGATTACTTGCTTGTGGAGAGGGGGTTCATGTAAGAAGTGATTTGTTAAATTGGAGATGTCTACAATTAGCCTTCGTGCTGGTAATTGAATTAGAGGATGTCACCGCTATCTTTCAAGCAGATTCATTGTCAACAAGCAATCTGAGAGCAGATCTATGGCAGACTGCTAATTGGTCTCATGTTTTCGGCTGGGCCCGCTTGTATATGGCTGCCTGCATCGTGCAGATCGCATGCTTGCAGGTGCTTACAAAAATTCTTTCCCTATCGCATACCAGCAGCAGAACGATTCGCACGCAGCTCGCTTCCGCAGCTTTAACACAGTTCTTGGTACTGGATGCTGTTTGGACCGTGACTGACTGTGGAATGCATGGCCCCTATCTTGCTTTGACATGCAGATCTGCAGGTCTGGGGATTGTTCTGGAGCAGCCTTCGTCCATGCAAAGTGTCTTGGCTGGCCACGGGGCATGCGTGGGTGACGGCTTTCAGTTATCCTCAACCTTACTGTTATTGTTACTATACACAAAGTTTGCACTGCGGACAAACATAGATTGACTTCGACTAAGAGTAAACCTGCTGTTAATTGCTTCTTGTGGATCATTGGTCTGGCATGTGTAGTAAGCCCGAGCATCCGGAGTTTTTCCTGGTTTTCGGAAGATTCTCGTGATGTCCTAAATGTCGCTGTAAATGTCCTAATAGTACAGTTTCCTGGAGCCTTGGGGAGCTTTACCCTTACAAGTTTCTCCCGGATTGTATCGTCTGGAACTACTTTCCATGTGCGGAGTGATGTGAGCGAATGAACTCAGAAGATGAATGTAATGACATCCTTAGGGATTTACACATGTTCTGCCATTAGCTCATGCGTCCCGCATCTAGAGGACATGGTACGTTTATGAGAATATCTTCCAAGCAGCTCTGAATTTTCTTATGCCTGCTCTACCTACAGATGAAGATTATACCTTCTGTTTAGGCCCAATAACCGAAAGGTAAAGAGGTGCATGTGCTGAACAAGTTGAAGATAGGTTTGGGATTCACGCAGGGGAAGGCACTGCAACTCGAAGGTCTTTCGTGAACATGACGCCAATCCAAAACTCCAGCGCGATTCCTTAGACCTCTACATAAGCACTATCCGTACAAATCGGGATTCTTATCAGCGCTGTTGTGATACAAGGGTCGTTCTCCTGACGGATTTACCGGCCACATTCATGTAGACATGTACTCTGATTAGAAATGCTGTTGACGCGACGAGTTTGCTGAGGTGACGTGGATGAAAAGGGCCTGCCACGGTACCTGGACTTCTTAATGGCTTGGTGCTTTATCTTCAGAGTCGTTTGCACGGTTTGTTCCGCAGGGGAAAGTCATAAGTTGACATGCAGCTTATCAGGCCTGCTTTTCTGGTGATTAGCTTTGTCAGTGCCTAAGCAGAGTCGCAGGTTCATATACAATGGATTTGGCTTGTCGAAGGACAAGAACTCCAATGCGATCAAGCGCCTGGGGCTTTTAACAACATTGTGAGGATGACATCATCAAAAAGCGCTGCGCCATTTCGATGCCCAAAAGCCTACCTTTGGGGTCCCTGCAGTTTTCGGAAAATCTAAGGCGTCTCAAGAGCTGCAGTTGACGGGATGCGCTTCCTCCATGGCTGGATTTGGGGATCATTCGCGAGGTGAAGCATTTAAGAAAACCAACCAGGAACAAGAAAGTACTTCCCAAGCAGTCAGGTCCTGGCGCGCATGCACGAACATACTGAATGGTGTGCCGCGAAGCCTAGCAAGGCCCATAGGATGGCAGTCTTGAGGTCGCTGGCATGTCGTCAGCAGATGCTTGCACTGTCGTGTCGAAGGCCCAACAACGCATGAGGCTTGCTGATCTCGTCGCGCATCAAATACCTCATGAACGTGACTAATCACCTCAGAGCCAGCCAGGCATGCCCCACGGACACAAGAATCATTATCTTCAGCTTCCAACCCCAATGCTTAGCGACACTGCGGCAGAAGCTCACGTTGCAGGGCCTGCTTCATCCCAGCTGAGGTTCCATCCTGGAATGGGGGGAGGACGCCGGCAAAAGTTGAAGCGGCTATCAACATAGCATGTGCATACCACATGCATGTGTAGATATAGGCACATATAGAACCCAATTTCGCATTTAGGTAAATGTTCCTGAAACGGCTGAGACCAACAGCAGTAGCACCGACTATTCAAATTAGCGTAGTAGCTATGGTTGCCGCAGAGTTAGGAAGCACCCCAAAAGTGATAGTGCTCACAGTGGAGAAGTGTGAACGGACGGCCTTGCTGTACCACTGCTAGGATGGTTGTGCACAGGTGTAAGCTGCCAAGATCTAAAGCCTTCACACATTGAGAAAGGCTCCAGCCGATTACAGACAGCAAAAACTAAGCCGAACCTTTTGATTCCCAATTCCATTGCAATCAGTGTGCAAGCTGTAGTACGCTCGGGCATCTGCTCGTTTGTCGGAAAGCAACTTTAAGAAACCGTGCACAGCACTCGCTGTCAGAAGGACAACTGAGGGTTGAAGGCGTCGGTGGATTTGGAAACACTGATATAGGTGTCTCGTCTGCACGCGTTGTTTGGCAAATGTTGAGCTGCAGTCTGCCGCGGTACGGCTAGTGTGAAAGCGATATGCAACAATGGCGACGCCAATAGCTGAGGAACATAACGTCTGCTAGCAGCAGCATTAAGGAGAATGGCAGCAACATCACGATAAGTAGGTGTCCTGGCAACTCCTGCAAGGTTTCACTCCACGCAACTGGACGGAGAGCAATCATGCCTTCCATACATTCCAGGCTGGACTGGCATGCGGAAATTGCTGGAGTGCCATGAAAGTGACATGCCAGTAGCAAAAGTCCTTTCCGGAGTTGGAGCAACGTTGCAGCCATATCAGAAGCGGATGGTATTGATGTCTTACTAAGCATGGTGCACTTTTGGAGGAGATCGGCGCGCAAGCGTTGCCTAAGGAAATCCACCAAAGGGTCTTTCAAATAGGGCCACCTAAAACACCTAATCTCAAAAACGAAGCCCAGGACTTGGCCGCGGCAATATCTATAGCTCACATGATGCATGGAAATTTCACCGATCATCATAGTGGTACCCAATCTCCCTAGACCCTAAACCTTACGTGCAGTACTGCTGACCATTTTGTTTTCCATTCCTATCTATACCACTACATACCCCTTGGGAGGCAGGTCTCCAAGCAAGGTCACCCCACCCCACTACCTTTCTCTAACTGTCCCAGATTTATGTTGTCAATCAAATCAGGGCTCAGGGATAGGTAGGGATAATGGAGAATCAAACTAGAAAAGAACATTGGAAAAGACTGTCCCAGATGTGCGCGGATCCCAAAAGGGCTTGGCACATCTTGGTACCCATGGCAGGTATCTAGCATACCAAACGGCAAGCTCCCCAAAAAAGACGTCCTTGTCCGTTTGACTTTCCATTTGATTCTCCATTTCTGGCATCCCCATCGGCATCCTCTAGATTAAGTTCCAGAGTATGTATATGTAGTAAAAGAAAACATGGTTTCCTGATGATAGCAACTTACGTTGAGTTCCTTAAGTCCCTATATAATCCCTACGTTACTCCAGTTTCCATTTCCTTTTCTATGTTCTTGTCTATGTGATTCTTCATTCTTGGGCTGAAATCTCTAGTCCCCAACCCTATGTAACCAAACCCTATAGTCCCTGGCATCCTTCTGCAAGCCCTCGCCTCTATGCATTACCTATAACAACCCCTAAGAGACCTATCATCCCCATGTAAACTATAAAATCCTCTACAACCTTCTATCTATGAGTATCCTTAGATAAGCTGTACGGAGCGCCAGTACCCCTATGCTAAACTTTATGTTATCCCAGTAGTAGCCCTATAAAAATCAGTATATTTCCATCCCTATATAACACTATATAGACTTATATAACAGTATATAACCCTATATAGCCCTATATACCCCTATATAGCCCTCTATAACCCCATATAGCCCTGTATAACCCTATATAGCCCTCTAGAGCCCGAAAAGCAAACCAGTCCTGGCCCACCTGACTGCAGGTGGCGATCGGCTCGGACGGCAAAAATCGGCTAACGGTGGTTGGAACAGAAGAAGGCCTTGCTGTAGACAGTATAAAATGAGGTGTGTTCTGCAGCATATGGGGTATGTAACATAGCCTGTATTTGTATATGCGCATATACACTCGATGAGATGGTAGCGAAGTTCTGCTACATGACGTATGCATATATGGGGCGTTTCTCAAAGTTAGGGGCCATGCCGTGCCTCAACCCGACGCACTCCTGTTGAACAGCTGAGTCTTCCTGAAGGAATCGCCTACTAGCGCTGGCGCTAAAAGCCAATGAAGGATCTGTTTCCCCGCTCCGGTAGGCCTTCATGGATGTATTTGTATGAGGCCTCGTTTCCCGGAATCAGAACGGGCTGTTAAATTGGAAAACAGTTGGCAGCGTTGGGGTTTGGGGCTGGATAGAGGTTGTTTTGATGTTTGACCTAGCATCAGGGAGGCTGTCTATCCATTGGCCCCACGCACTCAATTTTGTAAAAAATGTACGCCCCTGCAAGCCCTACCAAACAGACCTTGTACGCATTCCTGCCACAAGCATGGGAAGCTGATTCTGTCTGATTCTTTACCATGGCTTCATCCGTATCATCACTTCTCTAGCCCCTTTGTGACACTGAGGCGAAACCTTCCAAGCAGAATGGCAGAACCAGCTTACAGACGGGCGCTACACACCTTCATTGCATGCGTGGCTAGATCTTGGAGGAGGCACTCGACCACTCCTTATTCGCGAGGTTCAGATGGCTGTTCATGTCGGCGGCAAGAAGACACCAGAGTGACTGACATCAGAGGGTAGGGGCGACTAAATGCTGAGGGGTTGGCTCTTGGAATCTTGGTAGAAAGCTGTTTCTCTACCCTGGAGCCATGTCAAGTTTTCTCACATGACCTAGTCATGAGATCGGCGGCATTTGCCAGCAAAATTGTGCCGTATATGATTCTGTGCATTTCCATGACATGAGTTGTATCCGATAATGATGTTTCATGTTATATAGAAGCCAATGCAGATGTATCTTTTCGCTATGGTTCCATACGAAGACATGCTACCCAGCCTAGGAGCCTGCCATGATACTTGAAGGCATAATATGAACACATTCAGGGTCTCTTTCAACAGGTTAGAGGATGAGATGTACAAGACGTATAGGGATTCTGCAAAGCGTTGATGGGGCTTTACCTAGGGCTTTCAAGATTGAAATGTATCCCTTTCAAGTTCGTGAAAATTCAACTTATTGGTGGCTAGTAGGGAATAAGGGAATACATTATCAAGGTATTCCCTACAAACCCCCAGTACATCAAGGGTTGGGGGCATGGCCGCTCCAATCTATTCAAAGGGTGAATGTAGCTATATAGTATATACCTGGGCCCCAAAGAGGGTACATGGGAAGCCCTTTGACCCCTAAGGACTATTCTAGACCCTTTGGGCTATAGCCTGTTCAGATAACAGGTGACAAGCAGGCGACAAGCAGCTTCCTTTCAAATATGTGAAAGCTCCGTCTATTTTCATTTGCCTAAACGCAAATACTTTGGAATACACAGAGCTTTTTAATTATAAGCTTTTGCTATATTTCCATATCAAGTTTCAATATCACATAATTTTTCATGAATTCTTGTTGCTTATTAATAGCAATAATTGAGAATTATGTCTCTCTATTATCTCGAAAGTCAGTTCTACGTTAGCACGGGACGCGCGTCTGGCCGCAATCTAGGTGTCGCGGTCGCAGTGCGGTGTAGTTGAATGGGGCGGTGTAGGGGCCGTGTTGTACGTGGGTAGTGTAGGCGCCATGGTGAATTGGTGCGGCATAAATAAGCGCGGTATAGGCTTTCTGGGGGAAGGGGTGGCGGTGCGGGTGCTGTGCTGTATGCGGGTCGTGCAGGTGCCGTGGAGGCGTGCGCGCAGTAGGTGCGCCGTGGGGTATTGGTGCGGCGTATGCGCGGCGTATTGGCGGGAAATATTATAATTGTTATGATATGGGAGCTATATAAGATATCTTATAGATGCGGAGAAAATTGAAGGAAAAATTAATGCGAACTGTCCGAGAATCATATTAGATAGATAGAGAGAGTCGATAAAAATAGATAGGTATGAAAGAAAAAAGACTGCCATTTCTCGCACGTCAAAAAATACGAGAGGTCATTGATTTGCGAATATTTTAGCGGATATTCTATATATATATATATTTCTTTCTCTCTCTCTCTAAATATTACGACGCGATTATTTGCGGTTATTTCGTTCGCATACGAATAAGGATTTCTGGTTTGTTTTTAAAACATTTCTTATGGGTTCCTTAGGGGCTCTAAAATCTCGGCGGAAAAGCTAGAGGTTTTAGAATTTGCGAGATATTTGATGGGGGCGGCGAGCAAAAATCTCGGAGATTTTTGGTCGTACGGATTTTGCCTCTAGAACGATTTTCTGCGTGCTTTATCTCTCTTTGGTTGTTTGCGCGGCGGCTCGGTATAGATCCGGGACGGAGATCTTAAATCTTTCAGAATCTATTAGGTTGGTCGTTTTTGGTTACGTGTGGTCTTTCATATTGATTCTTTATGGGCGATCTTATTGGTCCGCGTGATTTATCTCTTCTTGGTTGTCAGCGCGGCTATACGGAGGAATGCATAGGCTCGGGACGGAGAATCAAAATCATTCAGAATTTATAGTTTGAGCGTATCTATTCGCGGAGATTTATGCGCTCCCTCGCAGATAGCCCAAGAGTGATAAATGAGGCGGAAAGACCGGGTTGGATGGGGGGATCGCGCGAACAAGGGGTCACGCGATCCAAAATCTCTCAAGAGTTCGAGCTATTTAAGAATCTAAAAGTCACGTGCTGCCTTAAAATGTTGAAAGTTCATCGAGCTTCACGTGCGAGTATATATATTCTATGATCATCGGATTTCTCGTTATAGATTTTCCAGATAAATATTATCCGTTATTATAGGCAACGTCTTATTTCATGAAAAATGAGAAGGAAATTTCATTTGAATGAATTTTGATAATATTCTACGCGGATCTTGAAAATAAGGAGATCATGAATTCTGAATAGGATTCTGAAAAAATATATATATATATTGTTTGCTCGAGATGACGAGAAGGACGTAGAGAATAAATCAAGAATATATGGATTAGATTTTGATATTGAATTAGATATGAATTTAGATTGGAAAATAGAAGATTATATAATAGATATTAAGATTTATGATTTAGAATATACGATTTAATTCTTTTTATATCTTATGAATTTAGGATATTCATAATCTGAATAGGTTTATATATAAATATTATGATAGAAGGAATATAGATATAGAGAGATTAGGCTTCCAAGATTTTAGGAGATATAATTTCGATGAGATATATTATTTTAGTTTTCAAATTTAATATTTAAAATATTTTGATAGAGAAAAAATAAATTCGATGATTTTCTGATTAAATTGAATTATTTCTATTCATTATATAAATGCCGTCATTTGAGATTTTAAGAATTTATTTCGAGAATCTAATAGCACGTCATCTTCTATATATCTTATAATTCATGATAATTTATTATATAGAATTTTCAATCACGG